ATCTTACCTTGAGATGTCCACTTCATACTTAATTACATCATTGCAATTTGCAGTCACATTATTTCAAGCCACACAATTCAAATATATGGACATACATACATCCTGGCAGTCAAACAACATCAAACAGCTCAAACAGATGTGGAAAAATATGATACTCACTGAACCAGGTCTCACAATGCACCAAGATGCAAGGCAAGACATCAAAAATTCGCACAACGCACCACCCTTGGTGTGTTGAGCTAATTTTCCTGACGAGGAGAGTGTTTTTCAGCTAAAATTCGCATAGCGCACCACCCTTGATGCGCTGAGCGAATTTTCCTGACAGGGGGACAACTAAAATTTGCATAGCGCCCCAAATTTGCTATTCGAATTAATTTGGCTAATTTCCCAAGCTAGTAACAGTCGCAAAGCGACTACATTCGCTACACGACTTACCAAACAGATAACAACCCTCTCTAGTCTTTCACACAGCGCACCAACTCGCTGTGCGAATGCTCAAACAGAGAACACCTCTCTGTGAGGACTCGCTATGCGAAAACATTCGCTTAGCGAGTCTGCATAATCTGCAGAACGCAAATTTTGCAGAATTACCCACTCACCCACTCCTTACCACTTCTAGGCCTTTCTTCCAACTTTTAAGACTTTTAATTCATATTTTGTACCTAATTAAACTTGTCTAGATGATTATCAAGTGTTATTAACATGATTTTAAAGTGATCAATACCCAAGTTTTAACTTAAACTCCCATTTTTTTATTAACCCAAGAACCCAATTTCAATTCTACCATGTTGAACATGACTTTACTCAGTTTTATGATCCTAACCTGTTCTAATTTACTCATCCCAGCTAGCCAAACTACCCAATTGCACTCAGGACTACCTATGCTCAAATTCTCTATCTCAATTCCTTTCAAAAGACTCAAAACAGTACTTCCTTAACTATTTACCCTTCTAACGCGACTAACACATGATTTCCACCTCAACCACTCCTTACTAACCCAATTGGTCATCAGAGAAGAATCAAATGTCTGAACGCATCAGTCTCACCTTCGACGCCAACACATATGACTAGTCACAACTGACTGTACCAGGCCAGGGCTGCTCTATGATCAGGGATGTGCCAACTCAGGTTTTTAAGATTCTTCTATCCTACTAACACAGTACTCTCAACTAGTCCCAAGTTATTTATCTAAGTCATCCAAACTGTCCTATGGTACTCTAGACCCCAATTGCCCAATTTTGATACTCCACTTCCCTCACAGTAACCTAAAACGAGTACATGTATCCACTCACTATCCATTTTTAACTATTTCCCAAAGTTCTTACTCCAATCCAGAAATCCAATACAACCAACACATGCTCATCCAAGTCAAACAAGGTTCAGTACACCATGGATACACACTTTCACATATTTAACAGATTTCAAATCAACATGCTCACCATCAAAATACACTTAACAGTAAGACAAAAAAATACTAATTTATCAAACGTATACATCATACGTTTCAACAACACAACGAAGAATAAATAGCTAGCTCCCCTTACTTGGAAGTTGAGTAGTACAACTTGCTAGAATACTTTAAACAGGACCCCACACAGCGGAGAACCAAATAGGACCTACAGATCTCCGCATTGGTGACAACCAACAACTCTTAAAGCTAGAATAGGGCAAGGAATGAAAAGAAGAATACACAAGGCACATGCAAGAGCAAAATCGCATGCCCTAATTTCAAGAACAGTGGAGAAAAAGGGCAAAACCACTTACCCGCTATAGAACGTGAAACCAATCGGTTCAAGTCGAAGCTCTCGACTCCAAGAACGCAGAATTACCACCTAAATGACCATGCACCGGTTCAATTTCAAGATTTGGTAGAGAGAAGGCAGAGAAAGTTAGGACTGAAGTTTTAGAGAGAGGATATGGCTTTGAAGAAAATGTGCAAAGTTTAGTAAAGTTGATCTGGTTTATACCTTAATAAAATAAAGGAAAAGCCTCCCCTCTAATTTAATTTCTTTTCTTTCTTATTTAATATATGTCTCTATATTTATATATATAATTACATGTCCTTACATATTAAATCATTCAAAACAATTTATTTAAAATAAAATCAATTTAACTAATTCATTATAAAATTAAATAATATATTATTACAAACAAAATACCTTAAATCTCTAAAAAATTATAAATATTTCAAATAATTACAAGAAAGTAATTAAAACATTTTTAACTAACGGTAAAAATCTAATATTTCAGAAACAAAAAGTAACAAAAAAAATCTTCTAACTATAAAAAAAATTAATTCTTGATATAAATAAAAAATTAATTCAATTAAAAATATTTTATTAAAATAAAAATCAAATAACTATAAATTAAAAAATTAAAACAGAAAGTTTAAAATAATTATAACAGAACATTTAAAAAAAATTAAAACACGAATTTTGAAGTTATTATAACAGAATATTTAAAATAATTAAAATAGCAAATATAAAATAATTAAAAAAATAATATAAAATAATTAAAACAGATAAATTAAAATAATTAAATTTATTTAATTAAAAATAAAAAAATTAATTCGAATCTTTATATAAATAAATAATTAATTCAATTATAACAATTTTATTAAAATAAAAATCAAATAACTATAAATTAAAAAATTAAAAAAAATTAAAACAGAAAATTGAAAATTATTATAACAGAATATTTAAAATAATTATAACAGAAAATATAAAATAATTAGAACAAAAAATTTTAAAAATTAAAACCGAAAATTAAAATAATTAAAATTATTTCATTAAAAAGAATAAAATTAATTCTTTATATCAATAAATAATTAATTCAAATGAAACAATTTAATTCAAAGAAAATTCATATAACTATAAATTTAAAAATTAAAACAAAAAGTTTAAAATAATTATAACATAACATTTAAAAAAATTAAAACACAAAATTAAAAATTATTATAACAGAACATTTAAAATAATAACATTTTAAATAATTCAAACACCAAACGCATAAATATAAACATTAAATTAAAACATAATATAACAAAAAAAAAAATTCAACCTAAGAATCGGGTATGGAGAATTGACAGGGGCTGAATCGGATCTCCTTAACCAAAGCATGCATCGAATCTGGACATTCGATGAAGGCTGAATCGCTTATGGAGATCTGATTCAGTCCGTGTCGACTCTCCATGCTCTATTCACCCAGATCTGCACAACAAATCTACTAGCTTCTACTATGTATAGAAAACAACAGAAACCAACCTCCGTTGGGTGCTCGCACGGACCATGGGTGGGTATTTCTTTGCACTGGCCGGCGCTGGAGGAGCTCCTCTATCTCTTTGGCCTTCCAACCTCAACAGGAAGAATATTTGATTGTGTGTGTCGTGTACCTGCAACCATTAAAGAAAACTCTGAAAACCACACCAGACACCATCTATAGACAGAAGGAGAGTGGAAGCACTACCTTCGCGTGGACAAGAAAC